CAACAAAAGGAATTACAAGAAGAAAAAGAAAAGAATTTCTCTGTTTTGTTTTGATGTGGAAAAAACCTTGCTTATTACCAATGAAGAAAAAAATTTCCTTACTTTGTGGCTTATTTTTAATAGATAAAAAAATAGAATGATAAAATATACCCGATTAAGTATGGACTTGTTTTTATTTGGTCTACGAGTTTTCAAGATTAATTACATATCTGATTTGACCTATAACGAAGACGCAAGCATACGTTTCATGCTTGTTTGAGTAATTATTATTATTTTGTCTAAGTGACACTTTTCTCCTTCCTCTTCTTCCCTCTTTCTCTTCTCCTTCTCTCTTGAGGAGCTTTCTCGTATTCCAACACGACGCGTCTCGTGGTCTCTCACTCCTGGGAGATCCAACTGCCTTTTTCCTTAAACTCTTGGGACATATTTATGATCGGTGAAATCTTATTTATTTGCATACAGACAACTCTAAAATCTAACTTGTTTTAAGTCAATCAATTTTAACATTTTCTAATTAGATGTCCAAAAATACCTTCAATATCGTCGATGGCAACTTTGCATCGGGATAATATCGCGACATTGTTGATGTAGTTTCATCAAATACTAATTTGTTTAGTCTAAAAAAAATAATCTACATCAGAAAGTAACCTACCTACTAGACTAGTGCAGGAGCAAGTTTTTTACAACTTATGAAATCTAGTGATTTATGAACTGAGAGAGAGACAGTATGTTTGAGGGAAGAAAGTGGGTGCAACAAATTCTCTTTTATGGTTGGACCAAAAAGACACATAACCTTAAATCCCAACTCCAAGTGTATCTGTTGACTCTCTAAACCTAATTTTGCAACAATTTTTTTTTGTTTTTTGTTTTGTTCTTCCCCTTTTTCCCTCCTTTTTTCTTCTGGTTATGAATATAAATAGCTCCTCTCAAGAACCTCTCCCATCACAGAGCAGAACAGATGGAGGGTCTAAATTTAATCAAGATCAAAACTTTGTGCTCTTTCTTGGCTGCCCTTTTTGGCTTGCTGGCTTTAACATCCTCTTTTGCTATTGCAGAGACTCACTACCATGAGTTCATTGTGAGTTTTCCAAATTCTCCACTTTCTCACCCATATTTCATTTGATTCTGTGTAATTCTTCTTCAATTCTCTGTTTGGGTGTGTTTGTGTGTAAATTTATTGTTCAGGTGCAAGGCAAGGCAGTGAAGAGGCTGTGCAGAGTTCACAATATAATAACAGTGAATGGGCAGTTCCCTGGCCCTACTTTAGAAGTCAGAGATGGCGATTCCCTTGTCATCAAAGTAGTTAACGCTGCTCGCTACAATGTCTCTCTCCATTGGTAAATCCCTCTAATTTCCCTCTCTCTCCCGCCGTATTCTTTTAAAAGTATAGATACTATCCTTGACCAACAATTAGCTGATACTATAACAAATTTGACCTTTAACAATGGTAAAAGAGGTTCATAGGTAGAAATAACGAACTTAATACATGAATTAACGTGGAAAATTCCAAACAAGAGAAAAAACCACGTATGAAAAATTATTACAATCACACAATTTCTCTCCCCAATCATCGAATTACCAAAAGCGCTCCCTCATAATAAACTCCTTTTATAGTACTTGGAGCACACTCATGTACCTTTCCGATGTGGGAAAACTTCTAGCAGTTGGAACACACTCCCCGTGTATCTTTCTGATGTGGGACAAACTTCAATTTTAATATTTTGCCAAAACCCAACGGATTCATACCAACCATGTTAAAGGTCGAATTTGTTGTAATACCAATTCATTGGTTCAACCAAACTTTCATGTCACCTAGCTTGTATCACGTTTATTTCTTCAAAAAGTATTTTCGAAGTGAAAAATTGAAGCATAATGAGGTGTGATTCGGTTCGAATTGGAGCAGGCATGGAGTCCGGCAGCTGAGGAATCCATGGGCGGATGGGCCCGAGTTTGTGACCCAATGCTCCATAAAACCAGGAGGAACCTACACTTACAGATTCACCATTGAAAACCAAGAGGGGACTCTGTGGTGGCACGCTCATAGCAGATGGCTGCGGGCCACCGTGTATGGCGCGCTCATAATCTACCCAAAACTCTCCAATCCTTACCCCTTCTCCATGCCCAAGCGAGAAGCTCCTCTTCTTCTCGGTAACAAAACAACTGCCATTGCTCAAATCTTCATTTTTCTCCTCTCTCATTGCTCTGCTTTCATGGCTGTGATTCTACAGGGGAGTGGTTTGACAGAGACCCCATTGATGTGCTGCGCCAAGCGCTTTTCACCGGAGCAGCTCCTAACGTCTCCGATGCCTACACCATCAATGGCCAGCCCGGAGATTTCTATAGATGTTCTGCCAAAGGTATGAACTCGGAGATTTCTTAATTGTTGATTGTTCATCACTCATTTCTTAACTCCTCTAGTTAAGGAGCCAAATTTTTTCCATTATGATATGTGCAGAGACGACAAGATTCACGGTGGATCCCGGCGAGACGATCCTTCTGAGAATCATCAACTCTGCACTCAATC